AGAGCGCAAAAATTCGGAATTCGGCCCATAATTCTTAATATTCTTTAATAGAACCCAAGTGCTATGCAATAAAAATACCATATTCGGAATCAGCGTCGCAAACATCTTGATCTATAACATATGCGTCGCAACATATGTTATATGCAGAACACATTCGTCTTAAGCAAGATTTTGTTGATCGTCCGGACATGGAGTTTTGTTTGTGAACAATGTCTTTTTGTACTCCCTTAGTACCATTTGATTTGGCGGGATTATAGCGTAAGCAAAATTTTCGAGTGGAAAGTCGCTTTCTTTCCGTATTTTACGATCTTTTCTACAAATGCTCTACGGTTGAAGGAAAGCACTTTGGAAAAAAATATCAAGAGACATTAGGCAGAAATATTATATCAAGAATATAAAGGACACATATTGTGAAATGTTCGTTAAAGAAAGTGACTAACGAGGAAAGGTCCCCAATTTTTAATGAGGCATGATTGTAGTACGCAAATTTCTGATTAAAATGAGACATCTCCCAGCTCTGCATGACCTTTCTTTACAAAGTTACAAAATTTACAAGAAATGTCAAGCAACGGAAATAACAAGAAACTAATTTAGGGCTTTTCTTGTAAATGCTATAACTTTGAAAAAGAACGATCATGCAAAGCTAGAAGATGTCTCATTTTAATTGGAAATGTGCGGGCTACAATCATGCCTCATTAGGAAAGGTTCGGGTTATTTTTTAGAGTTTCTGAAAAACTGGTTTTCTAGAAATCCGGTCTCTGAAGGCCTAAGAGCCCAAACGGGTGCCATATTCGGATTCAGCATAGTCGATTACCTATTGTCCACTAAATTTCGAAAAAAAGCGACTGCACACTTGCGGACCTTTCCTCGTAAGAAGTATTACGGCTTGTCCGGCTAATGGTCCCCTTTTTTTGCTCTTTTACAAAAAGTTCTTGGAATGAAGCTAGACACTCATTTTAAAATTTCGGAGAAATGGACGAGAACGTTGTTTTAGTCAACTTTGTCGATTCGCCGCCACTAACCAAGTTCTACTCGCAGCCGTCGTCGATGTTCAATAATTCTAAAAATCTTTTAACGGCGCAGAATATTGGGTAAATTCTTCTGTGTCATCTTGTTTTATTAATGGTATGTTGTAGTGAAGTGAGAGCTTGGGTGATTTTGGATGAGTCGCAGATTTTTGCATGTGAGGATAGTATTTTCTGTAAGTTGTTTCTTTCTAGCGGATCATAAATGTGTGCAACTAGTTTTGCAATAGTGTCTGATGTTGATCTGGATGTGGTAGTAGTTCGAATAGAATTTAAAGTTGAACTATCTTGTGATGATGACAATTGGTGATGGTATCGAAAAACTTTCTACGTCGCCAGGCGTATGAGTAATTTGTCCTATTACTACATTTTTGTATAATGATTCGTTGAAACGTTGGTGGACCATTCGTAACACCTTGCGGTAATACATTAAATTCCCATACACCATCTTGAATGATAAAAGCCGTTTTCTCCTTGTCTTGTTCATCTATCGGGATTTGAAAGTAGCCAGATTTCAAGTCCAGCTTAGTAAAATATGTATGTCCGCCTAATCGTTGTACTAATTCCTCAGTTGTTGGTTGTAGAAAGGAATTTTTCTTCGTAACGAAATTCAATTCATAATCGACTAAGAAACATATTCCACCATTTGGTTTCTTATGCAATATTACAGATGATGACCAGGGAGAATTTGAAGGACGAATTTGATTATTAGTTATCATGTCTTGTATTACTTTTTGTAATTCTCGGCGTGTCAATCAAAAATTCGATGCATGTGAATTGACTGGCCACAACGTCGTCAACGGGCTGTGGCATTTCTTTCTGACGAAGTATTGAAGTGGTATACTCGTCAATTGATTAAATTTGAAACATGGAATGATTCACAATATGCATTGCGAGATAATTTTCCATCACCACCCGAACCATCACAATCTCTTAGACATCAGCAAATTCTCTTAAGAAAACAAGATGACACAGAAGAATTTACCCAATATTATGCAGATATGACCAAGTTATGTACACACTGCAATCCAGTAATGTCCAATGACCAACGTCTCGATCGATTTAAGTTGGGCATGAACAACTCATTATTGAATAGATGTTCTGGAAGTATATTTACTTCCCCACAAGAACTACTTGCATATGTTCAACGTTTCGAACTCGATCAACAATTTATTAAAATACTCTCGTCTTCATCTGGTCAGACAACATGACAAAGATGACAACATTGGTAAATTATCGCCAACATCAAATTCTCCTCAGCAGTACTCCACATTTACACGAATCAATTCCATATTATCACCAACTTCCTTTCAACAAGGAAATCGTCGTACTACGAAAATCTTACGCTATTATCATTGCGGCAATAACGTCATTCATCAGACATTGTCCGAAACGACCACGAAAATGTTGCGGATTTAATCTGTCGCTCGTATATATCACGTTTACGTAAATAATCGACAGACACATGCAACCATCGACTCGGTACCACACACTCATTTATAACTCAATCGGCACTTAGTAAAATTCGTCATTCATCGTTACTTCCATCAAAAACGGTCGCGCATTTAGCCGATAGTTTTCGCCTTTACATATAATAGGTGAGGTTAATTTGCATATTCGTGTACTTAAAACCGACACTCCCATCGCTGCATTAGTAGTCAAACATTTAAACTCTGATTTTATCCTTAGACCTAACTGGTTCGTTGAAACAGGCGCAAGAATTGAATACGATCGTCATCAAGTTTCTATTCGTTCGTATAACGGTCGATCATGTACCCCTTGCGACAAACACATTAATACTCTTACGTTAAACTTAAAATTACTTAGCTCGACTACGATTCCTCCAAGCGAAGCAAGGTTCATTCAGGCGAAAACAGATGTTTCTTCTGCAAATTCAGTATATTTTCATCCAGACACAGACTTTCTACAATGTAAATCAGTTTCAATGGTTCCTGCAATGGTAAAAGTTACAGATTATACTACGTTCATCAAAATTTACAACAACAGTGATCAAACACGAACATTATACAAAAATGTAGTAATAGGACAAATTACTCATACGCCTGGCGACGTAGAAAGTTTTTCGATACCATCACCAATTGTCATCATCACAAGATAGTTCAACTTTAAATTCTATTCGAACTACTACCACATCCAGATCAACATCAGACACTATTGCAAAACTAGTTGCACACATTTATGATCCGCTAGAAAGAAACAACTTACAGAAAATACTATCCTCACATGCAAAAATCTGCGACTCATCCAAAATCACCCAAGCTCTCACTTCACTACAACATACCATTAATATCGGATATGCCCTACCCATTAGTTCACGTCCATATCCCAAAACGGTAGATCAACGCCGAGAATTACAAAAAGTAATACAAGACATGATAACTAATAATCAAATTCGTCCTTCAAATTCTCCCTGGTCATCATCTGTAATATTGCATAAGAAACCAAATGGTGGAATATGTTTCTTAGTCGATTATGAATTGAATTTCGTTACGAAGAAAAATTCCTTTCTACAACCAACAACTGAGGAATTAGTACAACGATTAGGCGGACATACATATTTTACTAAGCTGGACTTGAAATCTGGCTACTTTCAAATCCCGATAGATGAACAAGACAAGGAGAAAACGGCTTTTATCATTCAAGATGGTGTATGGGAATTTAATGTATTACCGCAAGGTGTTACGAATGGTCCACCAACGTTTCAACGAATCATGCACAATTTAATTGGAAATGGACGTTGGGATTACGTAGTTGTATATCTTGATAATATTTTGATTTTTTCCAAAACTTTTGAGAATCACAAACGACACCTAAATGAAGTTCTGTATATTAAACCAAGCCAATTCTCAAGGTAATCCGGAGAAATGTACAATTACGGTTCGCGAAATTGAATTTTTAAGTCATGTTATAAACAAAGATCAAATTAATTTAAACGCCTATTGACTACAGAACCATTATTTTTGCAATACCCGGATGGATCCAACAGCACCCTTCATCCTATCAATAGACGCATCAATTATTGGCATAAGCGGTATATTACGTCAAACTACTGAACATGGCACTCTAATATGTTATTATAAATCGCGTACATTGTCCGACACCGAAAAACGTTATGATCCAATGGAACGCGAGGCATTAGCTATGTATTGGAGTATACAGCAACTACGAGAATATATTGACGACTCTTATTTTTCGATAGAAACGGATAGTCAACCATTGATCAACTTCCATAAAAAACAAATTGATAATAAACGTGTTATGCATTGGCTATTTAAATTGCAAGATATTATTCCACAAATTACTGAAGTCAAACACTTGTCTCGTTATAAGAACACTGGTCCCGATTACCTTTCGAAACACTCGATCTCCTCGACATCGAAAAAGCCCATCCATGATAACGATTGGCCTCAAGGAACTGAAACATGGGAAATTAAACCACAACGTCCGCCATCTACGTTCTTCGCACAACTAAATGCTGTCATTACGCGTCAACAAGCTAAACGATTACTACCAGCTCCGCTCCTGACAACTTTCATGGCAACTCATACATCTCTTTCATCGGCGCCAGCTACAACTACAAGTCCCTCTCCACAATTGTTCGACTTCAGCCTAGATCGTATTAGAAAAGAACAAATGGAAGACACTGATATTATAGAAATACTTAACATGGCCAAACAAAATCCGTCAAAATCGTAATTTACAATTAAGGATGTTGTCTTGTTTAAACTATTACCTCGAGGGAAAACAAAACTACGTGTACCTTATATTCCACAAACACTAATTAAAGATTTACTATTCACTTATCATGATTATCCATTAGCTGGACATTTTGGCGTGGAACGCACATGGAGAAACATTAAGAACAAATATTATTGGCCAAATATGAAAGATTCAATTGAAAATTACATTCGATCCTGTTCTAAGTGTTCAAAATTTAATATACAACGTCGAACGGCTTCTGCCCATGTAAATATTTTTCGATCGTAGACGCGTCTGAAAACGCGTTTTATGCTGCGTTTAATCGCTCCGAAAATGCACCATTTGCTAGCGTTTAAACGCGTTTTTCCCAGGCGCGTTTAAACGCG